GAACACAATGGCGGATAGCGCGGAGCCATTAAAGAGACGCGATTAAATTTAATTATCAAATTTTACGACTATTTGGGGCGCGACCGAGCCGAACGCATCCTCTTCCCCGGGGGCTACCGGAAAAGGACGCGGAAAAAACAGACTGAGGGTTCGAGCGCGAAAAAAGCGAATTAGACTTTTCGTTGGTTGTAATAAAAAGCGTTAATAAAACCATGAAAACCCGTCGGACACTATGGTTACATTGTCCGCCGTCGAGGCGACAGCGCGGAACAACACTATAAATCCACGGATCTCATGTCGTTTCTCATAAACGACCGTTAATGCGGCCTTTCATCCAGACGCAACTGTTTCGAACGACTCGAATCCGCGGCATAAACAGAAAAAAAGAAGAGAGAGAGAAAGGATATTATAAAGAGCCGTTGAATCGTAAAAGCGAACACCTTGAGGGTAATTACGTAATTCGATCGTTTTTCTTCGTCGCGTCCGGCCAATGAAATGAAATGAATTGACCAGGGAAACGTTCGAGTTTTCACGGTGTGTTTAACCGGCGCAGATAAATTGTAATCCGCGTTAACTAAAGCGCGACGATTAAACGGAAAGGCAGAGAGACCGTTTTCCACGAGCGTAATCGTTTTTATCATCAGGCCTCGACCGCCTTCGCTTTTATGCTGCTCATCAAAAGCCGCGGCAGTCGGACCTCGTAGTTTCAATCTCTCCCTTTCTCTCTGGCTCGTGCGCGCGCGCATGATCTCGTGTGCGAGTCCTTTGTTTCCGATCCTGAACGTGGGTCAACGTTCAAAATGTCCCGCATAAACCGAAGGCTTAATAAAGCCTGGAATCCGGACTATTCCCCGTTCGCAGTCGACATTCCGTATTGGATGAGCGACCGTTTACAACCTTTCGACGGTCCTACGAGCCTCGTTTCACCAGCGAGCCGAAAAAAAGATCGACCGGGGCGCGGCGCATGAGTGAGAAAAAGACGAGAAGACGCGATTCGATGAAATGAAAAAAAAAGAAAACGTGAGCTTAACGTACGCTTTAATGATAGTCCAGAAACAACCAGGCCTTGTTGGGGCTGTGCTAGCTCTCTTTTGGCAATAAAGCCGGGCTGCTGCTGGCTTTATTGACCGGAAGACTAGGCTGCCGAACGATTTGGACAGTCGGACATTCGACCGACGAATTTCCGGTTTATAAGCGAGCCCGGAGAGTCGTAACACTGCGCCGTTAACGATTAACGATTCATTTAGGAACGTTTAGTACGACGGACGAGGGTTCGAAACGTTATGTCGACCGGCCTCGCTTGCTCGCTACGATAAGAGACCTTTCTTCGTAATGGCGAGTTTGAATATGCTTACAGGTTTGCGCAAATTGCGGAACGTGGTCGGGCAAAATGCGCTTGCCGCGTATAAAACAACGTGCACGGAGGATCTTATGTTCCCGTCGACAGTATTAACACGCGCGTGGAGGATCGTAGAATATTTTATACGCGATGTTTTGTTACCGAGAAACTTTAGCGTTGCAAAAATATGTGATCTCGGAAAAGTTAAATTATGAAGCAACAGCCGCCTGTTACAGCTGTTTAAACTTTCAAACCGCGCTTCATTGTTTCACTGTAACAGCGTTTGTTTGTAGTTCAACGGATTTTATTTTGCACGTTTTATAAAAAAAAATCAGCAGTTTTATTGGTCTTTTAAAGGGAGCCGTTAGGAAATTAGGTTCTATTATGGACGACCCTGTAGGGGAGCGTACCGCTGATGTAATTCACGTCATTCCGAAGTTAGTGCCGCGTTAAAGTTACTGAAACGCGTCTACAGAACAGAAGACAATTCTGTCGTCTCGTTAATGTCATCGCTTCGGGTCGTATAACTTGCTCTACTGCGAAATTAAAGCACGAATCGATTAACCGAAGGGGACACTGGAATTATTACATTAAAGGTGCTATACCGAGCGGGCGAAATAGAACCAATGAAACATACCGTTGATGTTTCATGGTGTATTGCAATAACGAGAATATTCGCAAGAAGAACCGAGGGTTCATTCGTACTACAAGAACATATTAATACAAGAACTTGAGTCAAGAATTGCTAAAATGAGATATAAATAAATACCTTTTAACCCTAATCTTGTGAGATGAAGGGTCCTAATGAGAACCCCAGGAAAGTCCATTGGAAAATGAAACGAAAGCAGAGGACACGTATGTATGAAGTAGAGTGCATTAATGCAGTACAGCCATTAATGAGTCCCAAGCATTAATGAACCCTAAAAAAGAGGAGTACGTATGTTCCCGTAAAATCGGAATACTTCAATGAAAACGGAAGACGTTTAATGGAGAAGGTAACCAGGCACACAGGCACATCGCCGCGGCATTCCTCGACGAAAATAAATCTCGCATCTGATTAACAGGGTTTCGCAAAAATTTCGCGGGCAAATCGTATTCGCCAGCGAACGTTAATACCGACTAAAAGCAAGACGCGTCGGGTTCGGTCCATTTCCAAGACGCGATACGGACCTGTCACGGGCATTCCAAGAACGATACGACATTCTTGCCCGGGGAACTAAAACGGTTCGCTGGTAGTTCGAATTGCGTGCATTTAGTATCCGTTATTTTTTCGCGATCTACGCATTCGCATACCAGTGAGCGTATAGGTATGAATACTTAATGCGGTCGGAGCTAAAGGGAAGATCGGCGCGGGCAACGGATCATATCACCCGGCGAGCGTAACAGCCGTGGCAGGCCGCTCTTTTAAATGCGACGATGGACGGCCATCAACGGGACCGAACCTTTTTCTCTCGCCGTTAATCCGATGCCGCGTACGGACGTTTATACGAGCGCATTATCGCGGCTAGGACGCTCACAGGTCCCCTTAACACCTCTCATAGTTGGCACGCTGCTGCTCTTAAAGCGATTTCGAGTAAGTACTTTGTCTAACTGCGCTCGCAACAGGATATAAACGGGCAGATATCAAACCCGTCGCAACCTTGTTCCCTGCGCGTCGCTTCCTCGGGCCCAGGACTTTTTTGCCACCGCATATACCTACCATTTACCGGTTTCAGCGGCCAGGAGCCTAATCCTCTTATTGCCTCCGAACCGCGAAATATTAATACAATGTTACACGGTAACGGCGTTACGCGGTTCTCGAACCCGCGCACGATGCCCCCGGACACGATCGTGCCGAGACGAGGTTGTTTCTGCGCCTTTTCGTATTCCACCGTGACGGAGTAAAGCAGAATTGAAACGACAACAGACGGTTCTATCAAGTTGAACGTTTCAGCGAAATTTAACTTTCAGGGTGTTGTAGACATTTGTAGATTACCCATTCATTGGAAATGTACAGCGTGTCTAAGAACAGATGTCCTAAGTATTATTTCTTTGTTGGTGGTGCTTGATAAATGAACATGAATTAGTTCAACTTGCAGAGATACTGCTTTTTGCATAATATCCTTGATCATTTAGAAACGTTTTTTATTCGTCTATTTTATTTTTATTTTTCAAACAGCATGTGATATTTACAATATCTACTAATGAATCTTCTCCTCGATAAGAGAATCATCGAACACTTGCACGTTAGAGCGTGCGAATAAAGTATTCCCACAAATTGCATATTATTCGCATATTTTTGTATCTTCCTTTTTTTTAATATCGAACGCGTCATTATTCAACATGACACAGGAAATCAATTACCGTTTGAGCAATCTATCTACAAGCCCTGACAATGACACACGAAGAGAAAGGCTCTTTCCGCGGCAGTTCGCCGTGTACCTCTTCTCTGTCCGCGTGCTCCTTTATTTGCCTCTGCTCCCTGGCGAGCGAGGGAAGAGAGTAACCCAGCCATAAATATCCCGTAGGGTAATTAACCCTTTGAGGACTTTGAAGCTCTGACGATTTTAATAATCTTAAAAGACACCGGGCCCCGTGATTAGTGTTCCTGTCGGCGGATGCAATCGGCAGTAGACTCCGCCTCGTGTATTCTGTCCTGGATGCTCAGCTTCGATGCGCGTATATCACAAAGTTCCGCGTTTCACCGTTGTACATTATCATAAAAAATGTAGGTACACAGACCGAACGGAAATTAAAATGAAAGAAACGAGTAAACAGGATTTCACGTCGAATACAAGTTCATTAGTAAGTACGTTAGATCATTAGTAAGTTAAAATATATTAAATTTTTGCTACGCCTTGTAAATTAATTTTTCTTTCAACTTTGAAATTCATATGTTCGTTCAAAGTAATGTCCTGTAATGCAGGAATACATTCATGCGCAATATCCGAGCCAAATTTATTTGAAGAATTATTCAATCTTCACAATATTGTGAACCTTGTCGATACAAGAAAACAAAGATCTATTAGAAAACGTATTATACAATTTGAAATAACGGTTTGTGTACCTTACTTTATTTGCTTATAAACACATTTCGAAATTTCTCTTACTTCAAAGCAGAATGTTAGATCTTACCGAACGGCACATCGGGATTTCTAAGATGGCGATGATTCGATTCCAGTTCGCGTAACTTTTGCAACGTACAGTCCCCCACGCCGCGTAGGCTGCACGCCACTTTGATGTATCGGCATAAAAGCAGTCCCGTGTGGTACGACGAAAACAATAAGCCGGTGTACATGAAACGACCCTTTTTAGCCAATAACACACGTGGATTATTTCAAAAAGCTAATTTTTCTCTGTGATCGTGCACAAAGCCAAAGGGCTACACATCATTATAGCGTCTCCGTTTCCTAGAAAGCGGAAGTCCCGTTGTACTTTTACCTGGGACGTTCTTTTGCAAGTCTGCGGGACAGAGAGAAGCACGTGAACAATACTAATTCGCAAACTCAAAGGTACGGACTGCAAACATAAAGAAATATTAATCCACGAACCTGCTTTTGAATGTTCCAACGGTGAACGCAACCTGCAAATGCGGTGGCAAATATGACTTGCGACTTTGCAATAATGCATATATCGATTCTTCGTACATCGATTGATCGTATATCGACTGTTGTGTTGGTGGCGCTGTCCTACTACCGTGCTCAAACGTTGACCAGTGCGGGAAAGTTTGCGTCAATTTCTGATAACCGGTGCCTGTCGTCGTGTGTACACACTTTGGGAATCGCCGTGGATAAAAAAAGGTATTTATAAAGAGTGATAGCGTGACAAGTGTTTGGGATAAAAATCATACAACGAGACGCTGTTCGTCTCGGGCGATAACCCCGTGTGGGTTGAAGGCGATTACGTGCCGTTGATACCCATAATATCAGTGTTTACAAACAAATTGCTTGACCGACTTCAGATTACAAAGCCCTTCGTTCATTTTCCACGGCTCGTAATACTTTTTTTCCTTCATCCGCCGATTGCTCCTCGATAACCTAACCTGTCAATTGCAGACTCTTTCCCAAGAGAACTGCCCGACGCTGTGACGGCGACGGCACGACACGAATGCCTTCAGCTCACGTAGACCCTCGGTTTCGAGGAAAAATAGAACATAGCGATTGGTCTATATATCCTTAGTAAAAGATAGGAGCGTTTAGTGCGATTTGTTTTTGAAAAAAATCTTTCGTTGCGACACGGTAAAATGCAGCTGGTCTTTGATCTATATCTACGCCGAATTGTAGCCACAGCGATGATTACCAAAGTGGACATGTTTGAAAGTCGCCATTTTCTCAAAAAACGTTACTAATTTGAGATACAATAATCATTAATAATTAAATTAATAATTTTTTATTTGCTGTGGTGTACTAAATTATTATAATATCAATAATTTCGTGGTTCATCATAAAAAAGTTGAAATTTTTATTGTGTATACAAAAATTCACTGTTAAATACACCACACTACATAGTTATATACGATACTTGAATTCCATTTGAATTTCTTTCATATTAGCTAAATGCCACTGTCAGTCATCTCTATCCGAGTGATTTCAGAATAAATAGCTTTCGTCTAGCCAGCTGTGCGGTTTCAAATCTTTTGAAGAAAAGACAGGTTTGACATATGTTAACCTAAATTAGAGGACAGCGGGCGTATTCAGCATCTGTTTCGAGGGTGTCGAGTTTACGTTCCGAAACACATGTGTTTAGCAAAGAATGCGTGTCTCAACTAATTACTTCTCTGTTTCGTTATTGCTCAGGCGTTTAACGTCTCGATAAACCAGTAGCATTGGATCACGTCTTATTAACACAAACACGTAACTGAAATGATTCGTGATATATTAAGGGCGTTTCATAATGTATAAACGTAACTGCAATGAAATGCATAGAACCACCGACACAAATCATGAACGATAGAATAGATAGATAATTTATGCTAATAACTCTGTACTATACATGTATTTATAAATATTCAGTAGACCGAATGCCCTAAATTATTTATTTGATTTTTTCCTGATAACCGTGTGATCATCATTTTATGGGCTTAACCACTTTAGGCGGGGAGTAAGACAATTTACCAGTCTGTTGTCCTCTAACTCCTACCGTTGTCAACCCCGTACCATGTAACTCCACATTGGAAATACTACAAGCAGCGTACTGAAATCAAACTTAAAATAAGATACCTTAAAAAGAATCTCAAAGATTATTCTCTCATATTGGTAAGTTGTATGAATTGCCCACAGTTATGCTCGCGTATTATGAAACGCTCTGTACAATCAGAGGACAAGTTCGTGCGTCCCTTCAAAGTTTCGAAGACGAATTACAGTCGTTGAGAGACACGAATGTATGTAAGTGGAAATTCGCGAGCAGTCCGGTCGGTCGTGATGCCGAAAGTTCAGACTGCTTAAAGTATCGAGTACTCTCCGGAGAAGTTCTCTAAGTGACGGAGAATGATTACGTTAATGACATGGCCGAGTACAGCCGAATGGCTGGATGAGTGCAGACTGGTACGACATCGGTGGCACGCGATTCCGACATCAACAACGACATCAACAGAACCCTGTATAAATATACTGACAGTGACTCGACCGATACGACTGCCTTCCGCCGTAGTTTCCCTAACTTCTACCCCCACCAGCTTCCATCCCCCAACATTTTTACAACGCGAAATATAGTCAGGATCGCGCGATTCGGTTTTATTATGGCGCTGTCAACCTGTAACGTGACCGTCGCCGCTGACTTATCGGCGGTGCAGCACGCCGCCATGTTGTGTACACAATGCACGCTCGTTACATCGGTGAAGTACCGTGGATGATGCGCGTATAAATCTGTGGAACACAGTGCCAAGTGTTGAAGCGACTAATGGAAACGGGTCGTTGGACTTTCTCGCGGGTGGATCGGGAACGATTATCAGTCTTCCTTGAAATCGTCACTTGCATCCAGTGTTTAGATAAGTACTTATGTACAGCACATTTAAATACGTAAAGGTTGATTCCCACAGGCACTCAAGGGACGATGGAAGATCGTCGTTTGTTGTCAACGTGACAAATAACAGTGTCATTGGAAACACGCCGGTGTGGTGTACCGCGGAACCTATTTACTGTAGATTACATCTGATTCATAATTATTAACCCTTTGCACTCGACAATAATTTTCATTGTAAATATTCGTTATGTTATGATGAAGCATCGTTAATATTATTTGCAACTAATGTAAAGTCCTGCGTAGATTAAGGGACAGAACTATTTTATTCCTGTGTTTCATATATTGAATTTTACATTTTATAATTTGGCTGTGTTGAAACTCAGTATGATAAGCGCCTTGTAGTTTATTTTTCGGAAAAAGAGAATTGAAGTACGTCGGTGATTATAGTAGCTACTTAATGCAAGACCTCGTTCTTATCGCTTCGGATTCGTGATATATGAGTGTTTAGAGTGGGGAGGGCAGTTACATAATGCGATTGATGTACACTAGGTTTCTTTTTGTTGAAAAACAGAATTTAATAATATCCAATGAGTTGTTTACAAACTTCATGTATTTGTAAAATACGTCTGTAAGTTAATGTATGTTTTCACGAAATTTTTATTTATTTTGGACCATGATAGTCAGTTCACGGTTACAGTGTTACAGTATTTAAGTTCAGGTAGGTCGAATTCAAATTCTTTTAAACGATCATCTAAGAGTAAAACACACCCACCAGTTGAACATTTAACAATGGGCGTGGTATTGTTGCGATACTCAGATAAACGTTAGTGGTAGTTAAGTTGAATCATTTCAATTACAATCATGAAGGGAATTACGTGCACAAAATTACGTGATACGCTTGCGCGACAGAGAACATTTGATTTACCTGAATGCAATCAAGTTTTACGAGCGTGGACTATTTCCTCGAGTCGATCATTAGTCAACGCTGAGAACAAGGAGGGTGAATAATCACTGTATTATTCAAATCGCCTTTCGCCTTTTACAACTTTTGTAATTTTTCTTTCATTTCGTACGGTGGAAAAGTTCATTAGCACTTTACGGTGGATTAGACCGACGTTGTGCAATTCGTTCCGCTCGCGCCCAATAACGTGCAGATAAATTAAAAGCGAGTAGACAGTGGACGTTGATCGGACCTAAAAAGTGTGCGGTCTATATGCTGATATATTTTCCCATAAAATATTTTATCGCAATTCATCGATACATACCTACACACTTCGTAATTGCTTACACGAATATTTCGTTTGTTACTTCCACAATCATTAATATTTTATATTTCTGTGAATTTCTAGGTTAAAATTGTGTTTGCTACAAAAAGAAGATTCAATTAACACGTTTAAAATCATTAATAATGATCGAAGGATATATGTATTGCAAATTAAGGCTCGGCTCTCAACGAGCTAGGTTGGCCGAGCAGTTGGTCACAAGTGGTCGTCCAGGTAAGACGTGCCTAATACCTGTGTTAATGACCGTAACCGAAGTGCAGCGGAAATACGACAAACGCAGGGCAAGTGGTGACAAAAAATCAGTGAAACGCATAATTTATTTTATAAATATTCTGCATNNNNTCCCGAATAAGACTGATTTGGGTGCCTTAACCGTATAAGTCTAAAATTATAATCCGTAACCATATATTACTTTTTGTTTATTTAAAGTTAAGTTATCCTGTAATATTTATTTAAAAGCCCTAAATAAACAATTTTTAAAACGTTAAAAAAGGTTGGCCGAGCGGTCTAAGGCGCCAGATTTAAGTTCTGGTTCCCGTCAGGGAGCGTGGGTTCGAACCCCACACTTAGCAAAAATATTTTTTCTTTTTGATGCGCTTTATCCCAGTCTAGATAGTAGTGCCATCTGTCTGTATTTATTTAAAATTGAATATACACTGCACAATATGTAGAGAAATTATACTACCGTTTACAGCGAAGCTAGGTTGGCCGAGCGGTCTAAGGCGCCAGATTTAAGCTCTGGTTCCCGTCAGGGAGCGTGGGTTCGAACCCCACACTTAGCAAAAATCTTTTTACTTTTAAAATTCTTTAACCATTCGAATTCGATGATAAAATTACAATCAATCTCATTAATAATACACGATATATGCACATATACAACACAGGAGAAATAATAAAATTACTCGTGGTGAATTTTTTTTGTGTGCTGCGTTACATTAATTTCATTTTTTATCTTTATTGTAGATATCTCTAGACTGTTTACACAAGCTATGTATTAAATATATATATATTTTTTATAATCATTCTGTTATAAATGTTTTTAGCAATTCTTTAAATTAAATTAAAAAAGAATGTAATGCATATTTTGCCCGTCTCAATGTTTTAATAAAAATGGTACGTTAAAATACTTTCATAATACAATCAGGCTAAAGAGACCGAGAGCCGCGTATAATTACATGAAAAATGTTTTCGTTAACAAGTCATTAATTAGAAGAGTGGAAGCTGGATTTGCAATTACGGAACATCTCGACGAGAAGATAAATGGTTCTGGCTTTCGTCGTAGCCGGATTCGGAGTGACTCGGGCCTCGTAACTGATGGCAGCGATAATAGAGCCCGAGTATAAATGACTTGATGAATAGTCATAGACAATTAGGGAGGCCGAGATAAGCCAGCGAACTGTGCGCGAGCAATTTTAGCCCGTTAATCCCGTTACTGAGCTGTGCGAGCGCGTTCGCCTCAGCCTGTTTACACAATCTCGATGCGATCGAGACATCCTGAACATTGTAATTACCAATATTTCCGCGGTCAAACCGTTCCACGCTTGCACGTGTTATTC